TTGAATGTTAGCTATTATGGTCATAATATGCCATCCAATCTGTTTCCAAGCCTTGACCTCTGGAATTTCTGTCTCCAGCATCTGTCCTCTACTTTCCACTCCTACCCCCATTCTCAATTCCGTTCCTTCCTTGACTTCCTCAGCATCTAATGCCTTCCCCACTCCCTCTCAGATATCGCCTTCTATTTTGTAGACCTTGTGCTGTCACCCTCATTAAAAACATGACCTACTTGAGGGCAGAGGTTGGCTTCTTGTTATCTCTCTATGCCCAGCATCAAGAACTGTGCCTGGTATACAGCAGGTGCTTAATAAATTCTTATTGGTTGGTTGAATTCATTTCGACAAAGATTGAGTAACTCGACTGTATTTTCAGGACTGTGATAGAGCCTAGAGATCAAAGACATAAAGGAAACAGTCCCTACCCTCAAGGAGCTTATATTCTCCTAGAAGTGTGGGGAGACCAGGAGGACCATCTAGTCCAACTGATACTTTTCCAACACAGCCAACAAGAAGTCACCCAACCTTTCAAGGACTGAAGACCTCTGGGGCAGCTCGGCGGCGCCACAGTGGATAGAGCACCGGGCTTGGATTCAAGATGACATCTTCCTGGGTTCAAATCTGGCCTCAGACACTGACTAGTTCGGTGATCTTTGTCAAGTCACTTCACCATGTTTGCCTCAGTTTCCTCCTCTGTGAAATGATTTGGAGAAGGAAATGGCAAACCACTCCAGTATCACTGCCAAGAAAACCCCGAAATGGGGTCACAGAGAGTCAGACATGACTGAAAAATGACTCAATAACAAAAAAGAGAGATAAACTGCAACTCAGAATAGGCAATTGCAAAGTTAAGGTTTAAGAGGGAGGGAGCATCAATAATTGGAGAAATCACAAAGAGCCTCCGGCAATAGGTGGCAGCTGGGCTGTGCTCTGAAGTTAACCCGCAATTCTAAAGAGAGTAGGTCACTCTCCAGCTGCAAAGCCCACAATGGCTGCCCATAACCTTCTCCATAAAGTCTGAACTCCCTAACTGGGCAGTCCAAGATCTCCACGTGTTACTTCCTTCTCCACCCTTGTTTATTTTACACTGCTCTTCAAGCATCCTTTACTACAGTAACTTCCCTTCCTGAACAGTACCTGCACTTTCCTACCTCCTTGTCTTTGGCTAGACTGTTCTCTGTGCCTGAGTTAGAACACAGCATCGCAGATGGAGAGCTGGAATGAACTTCAGAGACCGCTTAGCCCAACCCTCTTATTTTGTAAATGAGGAAACTGAGGCCCAGGCGTGGTAAGTGACTTTCTTAAGGTCATTCAAATGGTAGTTGGTAGGGTTAGAGTTCCTCTCCTATTCTCATGGATACGGTATGTGCACACACACACACACACACACACAGACACACACACACACACACACACACACATACACAGATATGCACACAGATCACTATGAAACAAAATAATCCATCAAAAGAAGAAAGTGCTGAAAGAGGATGATGAGTGCCCTCCTTTCAAGCCTGGGCACCATAAGCCTTCTCTTTCAGTCTCCTCTCCCTCTAAATTCCACTGACATAATTCATTCAACCTCTGTGCAGCTCTAACAACAATACTATTATTATTACTACTAATGATAATAATAATAATTAGAATTTTTAAAGTGCTTTAAGACTGACCAAGTACTTCACAAATATCACCTCATTTGATCCTCACAACAATGCTGGGAATTTGGTGCTATTATGATGTTCATTTTACAGATGGGGAAACTGAGGCAGAGGTTGAGTGACTTGCCCAGGGTCACACAGATAGAAAGTGTCTCAGATGAGACACTTTTTATAAATATAAATTTATATTTTCCTGCCTCAGGGCCCAGCTCTCTGTTCACTCTGCCATCTAGCTTTGTCTAATTGTTAGGAAGTTTTCCCCTCACATTAAATCTATTTTGGTCTTTTTCCAGTTTCCACTGTTGCTCCTGGTTCTTCCCTGAGGAGCCAAGTAGAACACGTCTAACCTCTCTTCCATATGACAGATTTTCATGGTCTCCTCAAACCCTCCCCAGAAAGTCTTCTCCTCTTCAGGATATAGGGCCCTAGGTCCTCCAGCTATCTTCATGTGCCATCCTTCTCCTCCTCCTTTAGATGTGTTCCAGCTTATGAATGCCCTTATGAAAACATGGCACCTGGAATAGAACATGCCCCTCCAGTTGGGGACTGACCAGGGCAGAGTGCAGTGGGACTGTCCTATGTCATCTTGGTAGGACCTTCAGAGCCTGACCTCTGCAGTCATAGCTTTCTTTTCCTAAGGCCACCGCCACTTTGCAATGGCTCAGGACTTTGGTTCCTGGGCTTTGAAGATAGAATAACTTTAAAACCCTAATCGTGAAATAGTGAAAAGTTAGGACCCACAAACAGAGGGTCCTAGGTCTGAAATGACCTCCACTTCTCTTCCAAGGGACAATTAACCCCGCTTCTTATGCTGGAAGGTTAATCTTTACTGGGAAAAAAAGAAAGCACCATCTGCTTAACAGGAAAATTCAAGGAGTAGAATCTTGGGAAAATGAAAGGAGAAATCCCAGCTCTCCTTCTATCCACCCTGAATAGGCTTAACTAAAGTTTTTTTTGTTTGTTTGTTTGTTTGTTCGTTTGTAAGGGTAGAAGGGAAAATTATCTAATTCATAAACTGCCAGAGTCAGAAAGAACCTGAAGGATCATTTAACCCAGTTATTTTGCAGATGAACGAAATGAGGCCCAGAAAGGTCAAGATGAAGGTCATGAGACCAGCCTAGCACCCAGATCTCCCTCCTCCATGGCCATGTCTCACCCCACCATCTCACGGTCACTCTTGGCAAAAGCTAGAACAAACCTATCTGACGGAAGGCCTTGGAGAGAGCAGAGCTTGGGCACAGTGTCTTATCTATGAATTCAATATTTGGAGATGGGGAGAAAATGACTCCTTGTTAATGCAAAAACAACCCATGGGCCCCTTGATAAGGGGTGAGGCTGCACACATTCCATTGAATAGCATTTATCTGGAAACTTGGCCGCAGCGGGTTCTCTTGCCAAGTCTATTCTCCACTGGTGTCCGTGATTCCCTTGTGTGCTGCTGGATCAGATGTTTGTCACGGAGTCCTCGCAGAGAGTTGGAGGCATGTTGCCTGACCCTTCCCTCATGAGAATGACTCCAATGAGAGCATCTGGGAATTGCAGCACTGGTTTTGCTAGAGAATGGCAGTCTTCAGGTGGCCTTTGCGAGCCCCTTCTCCATTTGGGATGAACAGTGATCTCTTGAACTGAACTGACCCTGGGGGATGAAGGGGTAGCCTGGATGGCCTCTAAAGTCCCTTCCCACTCTGGATCTATTATCCTATGGCCTATGTGGAGCTGTTTCTCCAAAGCAAAGAGATTGACTAATGAATCAATGTCCTGGGCTGCCTTCTGGAAGAGAACTCATTATCAGGATGAAACATGGTTGCCTTGATTTTCAAGATGAGCTGATGAATTCTTACATGATCCCCCAACACAGACACAATGCCCATTTGCATAGACATGGAGATGTCATCTAAAATGGCTGCTCCTAAGACCTTGTCTTCTAACCCTCATCTGTTTAGATGACCATCAGCACAATGCCTTTTGGGGTCCTGTAATGACACTGAGGTCTGCCCAGAATGGGCCAAGGAGGGATTCAGCAGCTCAAGATGTGTGTGCAGAGAGGAGCAGTGATGGAGTCCTTTACTCAAAGTGTGAAAGGTTTAGATATTTACCTGTGCCAGATGAAGGTATGTGGCACTTACACTGGAAAATCTGGTAACCAATCAGTCAGTCAACAAGTTTTTATTTAGTGCTTACTATATGCCAGGCATTGTTCTAAGCACTGGGATACAAAGAAAAGAAAAACATGGTCTTTTCGCTTGAGGAGCTCACATTATTAATGGTAATGGTGAATGAAACAAGATATCCAGGGGCACTTGTAAGGGAGGAGCTGACCTTTTGCAGAGGCTGAGGTACCTGGTCTCATAGGGATGCTCTATCATGCCATATACAGGATGGCTGGGTTCTACCTGTTTGACCTCCATATGACAGCAACAGCAGTCCTATTTATGTAGTTTAGGAATGCAAGAAATGTCTGAACTGAAATGGAGATCGGCCAGTCGTGTGGTCAATGACCCCAGTGAGTAAAGGACAATGAGTAGGGACAGCTTGTGTGTATCAGTGATATGTTTGAGATGTCAAGAGAAAATGAGGAATGCCTGAAATACATTGGGCAGGCCCCCATGGCAACATTATGGGAGGGAGTGACTAAGAGACACAGGATAGGTAGGCAAGGATGAGCTGCAATGAGCATCATTGGAGAGATGGTCACATTGACAACGTCACAGAACCACTAAAGTATTTGGAATTTGCAAAATGGTATATGGTTATGAAGCAATTCAGAGGCTTATCTCATTGGATCTTTACAACAACTCTGGGAGACAGACCAATTATTTGCCAGCCCCATTTTACAGAAGAAAAGAGTGAAGTTTTTGAAAGGCTGTTATCTGTTCAAGTTTCTAGGTATGGTGGGAGAGCCAAGGGCTTTACCAGGAATAGTCTCTAGACATCCAGTGATGGCACATACTTCAAGGTGAGAGTGCCAATCCATTTGGTGGACCCTTCACTTGGATAGGCAGCAGCCCCTCTGCACCTTAGGAGATAATCTATATGAGTGGTTGCAGATGAAAAAAGGAATTCCCTGGGGACAACCTTCTGACTGATAAGGCAGATAGAAAGTAGGCTAAACTATTTGTCATTTAACCCAATGAGAAGGTGAATGCCTTATTTATTTGGTGTTCTTGATTCCAGTTAATTACAGGGACCAAAGACTGGGCTTATGTGATCAGGAGAAAAATAATAGAGTCTGAGCAAGGAGCTAAGAAAGTGAATGGAATGCCAAACCACAGCAGAAACATTAACTGTAATGAAAGTTTCAGTTGCAACTTGAGTATGCAATAACATTTTTTTTAATAAGGAGTACATAACAAGCATGAAGGAAGGACTTTACACTCTATGGAAAAATATTGGCTAAAGGGCGACCCTAGGGACAGGGTCAGCCATTGGCCCAAAGCATCCTTCCTTACATGGCTAGAGCCTAGCTTGGCTGGGTGTCAGTCTGAATTAATGTTCAGGCCCACTTCAGGGCTGATGTTTCAACGGTTCAAGCCTTCCAGGACCCTGTTTACTTTACTTGTAAATTATACCCTTGAACACTCAGGTTTCAAGGGCCAAAGAGCTGCCAAGCTTGTTAGCAGTGGGGAGGTGCCTTGCTCCCAATCTCATAAGGGCCGCTCATTCTCCATTCCTCCCACTCTGGGGGCTGGGTACCGTGGAGGAGCCATTTCTATCCACACTTGACTCAAGCTAGCTTACCCCTCAAAGCTCTCCCCTCAGGAACCATGCCACCAGGAAGGAGCAAAGATTGATGGCCTGCAACCCATCATGGGACCATCAGAGCGATGCACCCTAAAGCAAATATTTACACAGCCTAGCCGGAGAGTGGGGCTCGGTTTTACAATGGACATGGGTAAAGGCCATGGTTTAAATTACAGATTTACAAAGGCTTCATGAGCACAAAATTAGGTTATTCTGTTTAAAATCAATCACAGAGCCTGTCATTTGCTTATTGCCTTGACTTCATAACAACGGTTTAAATGCGGGCTTTATGTGTGAGTGGAGAGCCGGGAAGACTCAGAGACTGCCAGGCTCTGTCCAGGCTCTGCTCTTCCTCACCCTCATGCTTGTTCCTGGGGCAAACACTAGGGCAATTAGCAGGATCTGAATGAGAAGAACATTTTTCAGGGTTGGGGGATCAGGGAATGAAATCATTGCCTAAAGATGACCCTGCAATTGCAGCATTAATTGAAAAAGGTTATGAGGTTTCAGAGGTATAAAGGGATTTAAGAAGTGACAAGGGATTTATCAGGCCCAGGCTCATTCTTGGGGAATTGATTATGCTTGCATTTTTATTTTCTGTAGCACCGGAAGAATGGTGAAGGGACTAGAGGGAAGAGCCATGCCCCCGTCAAGGGTGCTCAGTATGGGCTCTTCAGTAATGAAAACAGCCCTCCTCATTGGACTTCGGCTTGGGCCACCACTCCAGTCCGGAGCAGGTCACTGATGGTGCTGTCATCATAGCCCAGGGATGTCTTCAGTACTTCTACTGTATGCTGCCCAAGCAAAGGAGGGGGCTTCGGTTCAGCCATGGTGAACCCGTTGTATCTCACAGCTGGTCCTGTCAGAAGAGAAAGAGAACAGGAAGCTTGTTAATGACAAACCCTAGGAAATTAATTCATTATCCAAGTAGCCTTGGGCATTGTCAGGGAAACCAAACATTTCTCTGCTAGCTATAGCACTCTAGATTCACCAGCATTTGGGGAAGAAATGGAGTTTGGCATGCAGTTTTCCTTGAATTAGGTTACAGGTCACATATTTCTGCCATCTGTTGGTTACCCAGTGTACCTCTCAAAGCAATAACATGAATTTTAGCATGAGTAAATGGAAGAAACAGGGCTGGTCATGGGAACAGCCAACCCTTTCCCAGAAATGCCCTCTGCTTTTCAGGGCCAACAGAACCCATCTGAGCTAAGGCGCATGGGAGTATTCAATTAGAGCTAGAGTCAAACACAGAAGCCACCCAACCCAAACCCTCTTTTTAATGATGAGAAAACTGAAATCCAGGGAGATGTGATTTGGTCACTACATATCTATCATTCCATATCTCTCCTTCCTTCCCTGCCAACCTTCTGGAAAAAGCCTACAATAGACACATCAACTTCTTCTCCACACATGCACTTGTTAGCTCCTTTCAATCTGGTTTTCTCTCCTACCACTCTATGAAAAGCCTTCTCTCTAAAAACTCCTCTAAAAAATATCTTTCTAAAGTGTCACTAAATACCCCTAGACCTTTAGGCCACCCAAGCATCATTTACATCCACCCAAGCATACATTAACTCCAAGTCTTCACCCCTTTCGCTTCTCAGGCTGCATTTGGCCCTGTGGAGCACCCCTTCTTTCTTGTTACTATCTACTCATTTGAATCTGTAGTATTTTAATCCTTAACCTGGTTATTTGCAAACTAAATGAATACTCCCTGAGTTCCTCGAAGGCAGGGACCATGCTATTTTTCATTGTCCTATTACCAGCAACAAGTAACATGATATAAACAAAATGGAATATATCTTAACAGGAAGCAATTGATTACTACTGTGGTTGTCATTTATGAATCAGCTCTCTGTATACAGTCATATTATCGGTTTTTTAGCATAAGGAAAAAAGTCAATCTCAAATTAGATGAATGAATAAAAATGAGGCAATATGGTATATAAGTGAGGCAACTCCAGTATGAATTGTTTAAGCAAGCTATTTACATTAAAACTGAGAAGTGGGTAAAAGAACACATATTGACATAGATTCTCACCATTCCCTAAGAAAGTCTAACTCAAGTAAGTCAGTCACTACAACGAAGAGACCAGAAAAGCCTAGAAACTAACTCATCCAGCAAACACTGAATCTCCTTCCCAGCCACACAGACAACAGCAACACTTCTTTACAATAGAAACTGATTCATGAAACCTCAGAGGACGATGGAATATTATGAGTGGTACAACTTCAAAACAGCAAGAAGTAAAGAATGAGCTGACTGAAAGTTTTTCACAGCATCAAAATTAGGGAGATCATTACAAAGATATTTAAGGATGAAATCAAAAGGACCATGAACAGATAAAATGGAAGTGAGCTTTAAGGATTTCTAAAACAAATTCTTTCATTCATCAATGAGCTATGACATTTGAACTCCAGAAACACAGTCCCCATGTCTAATGGCTCAGTTAGCAAGAGATCTGTTTCTATGTCACAGGCAGATTCTACAATAGAAACTGCTCCTCGAGGCAGCTAGGTGGTAAAATGTACAGTGTTGGGTCTGGAGTCAGAAAGACTTGAGTTCGAATCCAGCCTCAGAACTTACTTACTAGCTGTATGACCCTAGCCAGTCAACATCTGTTTGCCTCATATTCCTCAATTATAAAATGAGATAATAATAGCACCTACTTCACAGGGCTACAGTACTTAATGCAATGCCCCATACACTAGGCATTTAATAAATGTTTCTTTCCTTTCTTCCTCTGATTGCATTGAAATTAAATGATAGTCTCAATGTCCAGGGGTTTATTTCAGGCTAAAGTAAGTATCAGTTTTTTCAAAATGACATAGTAGAAGCAGGAACTCACCTGAACTCTTCCAAATTCCCCTCCTAACAGCTTTAAACTAACACCTCAATCTGAATTCTTCAATAGCAGAGTCAACAAAAGTTTAGAATTAAACAATTTTCTGACCCAAGACTACTTGGGAGGTCAACAGGAAAAATCTGTCTCAAAGGGGTGGTAGTGGGACCCAGAGCACAGCACAGGCCACACAGTGGCAATGCCAGCAACAGGCCTTAGAGGTGACTGTGTCAGTGGCAGTAGCAGCTTCAGGAGCTACCAGCCCACAGACAATAAGGGGGTCATAAGGAGATTACAGGGGACCCATTGATGACACTGGCATCAGAACTCTGTCGCATTGGCCATATGCAATTCTGGGTTACAATATGAGGGGGGAGAAGAACATTAACACATTAGTGCTTGCAGCCCCAAGGGAGCAGGGGAACTGGCCACAGTTCCAGGAGGAAGAAGAGTGCTTATGATCACTCACAAAGAAATAGGACTCCAAGTATCAGTTTCAAGGCAGAAAGGAGCACTAGCACTTGAGGCTGCAAGAGAGCAGGGGATCAAGTCACACTTCTGGGCCAAGAGGAGCACTGGCAGTTGTGACTACATTTCCTCAATAAAGATCAGAACATAAGTCAAGGTAGAGTAGTGACCACACCTCTCCTTACATTGTACCACCTTGGAAGAACTGAAAACAGACCCCAGAACTGATTCTGAAAACAGCAGCACAAAAAAACCTAAAGCTTGGGAAAGTGTCCCCTCCACCCCAGGAGCGGGGTCCAACTTTAACATAAAGTTAAAAGTCAAAAAATAAACTAGAAAAATGAGTAAAAAAGAAAAATCTAACCATAAAATGTTACTATTGTGACAGGGAAGATCAATATACAAACTCAGAATAAGACAACAATGTGAAAATAATTACAAGCAAAGCCTCAAAGTGAAAAAATGTGAACTGAACATAAGCCCAACAAGAATTCCCAGTAGACCTCAAAAAGGATTTTCAAAATCAAAGAGGTAGAAGAAAAAAATGGGGAAAAATGAAAGTGATGCAAGAAAACTATGAAAATAGAGCCAATAGCTTGGTAAAGAAGGCAAAAAAATACTGAAGAAAATAACACCTTAAAAACAGAATTGGCCAAGTGTTAAAAAGAGGCGCAAAAATCCATTGAAGAGGACTCCTTTAAAAAAAAAAACAGAACTGGTGGCCAAATGAAAAAAGAGGTACAAAAATCATTGAAGAAAATAATGCCTTAAAAATTAGAATTGAGCAAGTAGAAGCTAATGATCCCAGGAGACATCAAGAAACAATAAAACAAAGTCAAAAGAATAAAAAAAAATAGGGGAAAATGTGAAATATCTCATTGGAAAAATAGCTGACCAGGAAAAAAGATTGAGGAGAGATGATATAAGAATTATTGGACTACCTGAAAGCCAAGATCGAAAAAGTGCTTAGACATCATGTTTTGTGAAATTATAAAGGAAAACTTCCTTGATTATCATAGAACCAGAGCGTAAAATGGAAATTTAAGAATTCCACCAATTACCTACTAAAAGAGATGTCAAATTGAAAACTCCCAGGAATGTTATAGCCAAATTCCAGAACTCTCAGGTCAAAGAGAAAACATCACAAGCAGCCAGAAAAAAGTAAGTCTTTGAAAAACTATGAAGCCAAAGTCTGGATTATACAAGATTTAGAAACTTCCACTCTAAAGAGGCAGAGGGCTTGGAATATGATATGCCAGAAGGCAAAGGAGCTAGGATTACAACCAAAAATAACCTATCCATCAAAACCGAATATAATTTTTCAGGGAAAAATGAATATTTAATGAAATGGAGGACTTTCAAACATTCCTGATGTTTGACTAGAGCTGAACAGAAATTTTGATTTTCAAATGTAAGATTCAATAGAAGCTTAGAAAAGTAAACATGAAAGAAAAACCATAAGGGATTCAATAGCATTAAACTGTTTATACTCCTATATGGGAAGATGATACTCCTAAGAACTTTATCATTATTAGGACTGTTAGAAGGAGTCTACATAGACAGAGGGCACAGGTACGAGTTGACTGTGACAGGATGATTTAAAATATAAAATTAAAGGGTGATATAATGGGAGGCAGTGGGAGAAGAAGGAAGGTGGAGGTAAAATGGGTAAATTCATCTTACAAAAAAGTGGCACACAAGGGAGAGCTTTTATAGTGAAATTAAAATGGGGAGGGTGGGCAATGCTTGAACCTTTCTCTCATTGGAATTAGTTCAAAGAAGGAATACATATACACTCAGTTGCTTATAAAAATCTATCTTACCCCACAGGGAAGTAGAAGGGGGGAAGGGGAAAAGAGGAGGGGGAGGGTGTTAATAGAAGAGAGGACAGAATAAGGGAGGAAGTGGTCAGGGGGAAAATAGGATGGAGGGAAACAGACAGTTAGTAATCACATGATGCTAATGCCTAAACCAAGAAGATCAAAAACACAGAGAGAAAACTATATACTAATTTCCCTAATGAATACAAATGTAATTTTTTTTTGCTTTTTTTTGTGAGGCAATCAGGGTTAAATGACTTGCCCAGGTTCACACAGCTAATACATGTCAAGTATCTGAGGCTGGATTTTGAACTCAAGTCCTCCTGACTCCAAGGCTGGACCTGTATCCACTGCACCACCTAGCTGCCCCTGATGCAAAATTTTTAACTAAAATATTAGCAAGTGGATTAAAGCAATATATAACAAAGATCATATATTATGACCAGCTGGGATCTATACCAGGAATGCAGGGCTGGTTCAGTATCAGAAAAACTATCAGCATAATTGACCATATCAACAACAGAAACAACCAAAATCATATGATTACCTCAACAGATGGAGAAAAAGCTTTTGAAAAAATACAATACTCATTTCTATTGATACACTAGAAAACAAGAATAAAAGGAGCATTCCTTAAATTGATAAATAATATCTATCTAAAACCATTAGCAAACATTATCTATAATGGGGATCATCTAGAAACCTTCCCAATAAGATCAGAGATG